CATTAACTTTGGACTCGGGGTGACGGTCCTTTGCTGGTAAAACTCTTCGAATTTAGGACTTAATACTTTTATTCTTTCAAGAAAAAAGTATTGTTGCCTTCTTTCTTTGACGGTGATTATCACCCTTAATATCTGGTTCCTCAGGCCAGCCGCAGAATTTTAGTTGTCTACCGACGCTATCACCATTGCAATGATCGTATATATCTAACAAGGAGTGATTCATTACAGGCTGCAAAGATTTAAGGTTTTAAAATATCTCCTTAGTTACATCTCTTATTCTCCATGCTGTTGCTTAATTAAAAGATCCTAACTTTAAATCCAAAAATAGACAGAGTAAATAAATATATGAAGAATATATTGCGGATGGCTCCTGGATAAACGGACATAGATTCATATAAAATTCCAATGGAATAAAATGGTGAAGGCTACCATAGTGATTAATAAACACTCCATCTATGTGTTTTGTTCACAGTACTTGAACATCACTTTTCAGAAATACGGTACAGTAGCAACATTATGATATCCAATCACTAAAACTAGAATAATAATAGAATTATAGAATTGCAAGAGATCATTTAAGCTGTGAGTTGACTTCCCTGCTCAGCGAAGGAATCCAAATGAAAATGAAAGCACCCCCATAGTTTTCAAGACTCCAACGGGACACATCCAGTGAAGGGGACCCCTCCCATCCCCCTGCTCTTCTTGTTAGCAAGTTTTTCCTCACATTCTGTTGACCTCTGTCTTTCAGTACTAAAATGATTCTTCTTTGTTCTATCCTCTGGAATCATGGAGAACAGCTTCTGGCAACGTTACCTATGACTCTGTAGGTACTTGAAAATGTTATATCCCGTCCTTCACCTCTGTTGTCCTTTTTAAATGGTATATAAACCCCACCCCATCTCTCCTTAAAGGATCTAGTTCCTTGTCTCCTGATCATTCCTGATGCTCTTCTCTGAACCCATTCCAGATTGTCTCATACTGGTGTCCCAAGCTGGGCACTATATACAAAGTGCACTTCTAAAATCTGAAACAGAAATGAATAATGCATGGGATACCAGCACAGTGTCATGAAATATTTCTAAATAATTGAACCAAAGGCAACCATTCTACAACTCTTCTTCCTTCCTCTATTTCTGGTGTTACTATATGATATTTGGTTACCTCATCCTAATATAAATCCACTGGAATACCAAGATTCCAGTTGAGTGAATGCCAAATGCTCACATCTCCCATTAAAAAGGGGCACCTAATCACTTTTCTGACTGCACGTGAGTTATAGATGTGATTTAAGCCCACACCACTATAAGGAGCATGGGAAAAGTGGATCCACATAGAAAGGGAACTGTATCCTTTTCAGCGTTGATATAAATGTCCAGTGCATTGACCTAGATAATTTTTAATAGTAACTGACATCAATTCAGATGAGGCTGTCTCTTTCAGGCTCATTCCTCTTTGGCCTTTGGTTTCCCCTCCCTCTTTCTCTTTCCTTTCCCATGTGCATGTGCACCAACTTCACTCTTCATGAAAATGACCAAGCTTATGCCATACTATTTTGCCAATTTGGAGGACTTTTGTGGTAACAAAAAACCTTGGCTGGAGCTTGTCTCCTTCACTTGGCTGTTTCAAAGCCATCAGTGGGTGAGTTGGGTGGGGTAAGCTAGAGATGGTGATGACAGCAGTTTCCTTCTTGTCCAAAGCCTTTTCTAAACATTTAAGAATGTTCAAATCATCTGCTTTATTATCTAAGAGGTAGCAAATAACAGAAACCACATAAATGTGATGTTCATATAGAAAAATGGACAGCGTAACTAGAAGCAGGATGGTTCCAGAACTCATTTTGGGGACAGGGGACTCTCCTGCCTTAGTACTGGCTTTTTAGTTGGGATATATCTGAATTAAAGGATCTTTACTTTAGAAGTTATGATGCAGCCTTCAAATCACGAATGTATCTTAGTGCTTCGGTGGGATAACTAAGCTATGCTGCTAACAGGTTGTGTGAAGGATCCTACTATCCCTCTGAAACTGATTTTGAGGCAAATAAGGAGTCCATTGCCTTATTTTTCCTCATATACACTGGAGACCCTTTTTTCCCTTGCAGAAAGAGAAAAAGATCATTCCAGCACTGAAGTAGGGAACTTCATTATTTTTTCCTTGTGCAAAATCTAGATGGTTAGCTTTAAAAATTCAGATTACCATGAGCAAATGGAAAACTCAGAAACACTGATAGCAATTCAGGATATAAATGAATATTTTAAATTGTTGATTGCTTATTATTTCAAGCCATAAGTATCCCCTCATAATATTCTTAGTAAGGTACCTTGAAGTCAAATTTCTCTACTATCCAGCGTTTGATCAGTTGCGACATTCAGAGTATGTTCTAGCCTTTTCACGTTATAATACAGATCTTTTAATGATGGGGGGGGGGGGCTCGGTATTCCTTGTTCTCTGCTGCCATCTCGCGGCAGCTTTCTCATATAATCTACTCTTCAATAACAAGGTTTGAATTTGCCGCGCTAACAACTCGTGGTGGCGGGTAATTAAGCTACACCCTTTTTCCTGATTTTCTTTTGTCCTCCAATGAACGTGGTAGACAAGCCGAAAGCTTCACCATTTCACCCGTTCCCATGAGATAGCTAAAACAATCTTTCCGGAAAAACAAAAACACGCGATAAGCCTCGAAAATATACTTTAAATAATTTGATAAAACCTTAATAAGCCTCACAGAGCTTTCAGAAACGGAAGGGCCAAAAATGAAACAAAGCTGTTGAGTTTGCTCGCGAGACGGTGAATTATTGACTGCCGTTGTAGATGAAAGTAATTTTACAGTAGTTACATTTGTCAGCTATTATTTCGCCAAAGGAAAACAGCTCTTTAAATGACGGCGTGGGCGGCCCTGAAAAGGGCCTTTGGATTATTTTGTTAGCAATGGAGATGAGCCTTTCTAACCACCAAAACCGTACAACGTGCGACCTTGGCGTTTCAAAGCGTAAACGACATCCATGGCCGTCACCGTCTTCCTCTTGGCGTGTTCAGTGTAGGTAACCGCATCCCGGATAACGTTCTCCAAAAACACCTTTAAAACGCCGCGAGTCTCCTCGTAGATGAGCCCAGATATCCGCTTCACTCCCCCACGACGAGCCAAGCGGCGGATGGCAGGCTTCGTGATACCCTGGATGTTAGCACGAAGGACCTTGCGGTGCCGCTTGGCACCTCCTTTCCCTAAACCTTTCCCTCCTTTCCCACGGCCAGACATCCTTCCAACCAAGCCAGCACCTCAATGGCAGAAAACCGCTGCGCCCGGAATATATATAGTCTGGGGTCGGACCAGAGTGTAAAACCCGAACAAGGGTGTCTCGTCCTGCTCCGCCCCGCCCTCCGCTGCCAACATGTAAAAACGCCTGGGCAGCCTCACCAATCGATCCAAAGGATGTTAAAACTGCCCAATCAGATCTCACTGGAAAGTGTCCAATCAGAGCTCAAAGGAACTTAAAAATATTCTAGCCCAAGTTTCACGTCTGGTTACTGAATTCCATGGGCCCAAAGGCTGATTCCTAAATAAGAGTGGATATGAGTGTAGTCCTTAGAATTTTATCGAACTGGCCTATAGGCGTTTAAACAGAATATTTGCGTTGAAATTTTAAGGTGTCACAGTATTACTGAGGATTTTTCTTAACGGAGATTATTATAAACTGTTTAATGAGTGTCATTTGTATTCTTTTTTGGGGCCTATCTCAGAAAAAAAAATTGATGAGGGAAATATATGAGAAATGTAATGTTTTCCTTTAGGGTATGCTTCAGTTCACTTATCAGAGAACTAAAAATGCCATAAAACATCATCCATTCTAGTAGTTTCTTCTTGGTCACTTAGCTCAATATTGTCTACAATCTGATTGACAGCAGCTTTCCAAGATTTTAGGCAGGAATCTTTTCTAGTTTTACTTGAAGGTGCTGGACAAAAGATGTACTGTATTCCCCCACTGAACTATGGTCCTTCCTCCCTTGCTGAGGGACTTGAATATGGATCTAGAAGTTAGTTATTTCATCTGAAAATGTTTTACATGATACAGAATTACAAATGACTTTTTATAGTGAGCAAGCTTTTTGATGGGAAAAAGGAAAACATGTTTACTTGTTTTACAAAAAATAGTATCGTTCTATCATATTTTAGAAAGAAATTTATTGTGACTTAAGCTTTTAGGGGCCAGGGAACATGTCCATTAAATATGTATGTGAGTGCTGTAAATATATATCACTAATAACTTGAGCTTCAGCTCACATAGTTTACACCGAAAACTAAATATCTAATTTTCTAAAGTTTGAGAATACAGCACATTTAAGAAGCAGATTTTTTTTTAATTGCAATAAACTGATTCTTTAGGTCATATATGTTGGTTTTTTAAAAACATTTCCTGGTTTTCTGTCCCCAAGATATTACTGGGAAAAACCTTTAACTTCACCTATCTCTCTATAATCCCTATGGGTTTTATTCAAGCATACTTATAACAACATTGAAATTATAAGTATTACTGTGGATTATGATTATTATCAACATAGCACTCCCTCAAACACTTTCAGTATGATACAATCGGCTGTGAAATAGAGTAAGTCAGTCTTCCAGTCAAGTTGAGTTCTGGTGAGGTGTGTGCCTACACCCACGTGGTGCTCTGGGCAACAATACAGAAATTATTTCCCATTGCTTTGTTTTAGGAATTGTTTTAAATGTTTCCCAGCAATTCCTCAGATAACTCATTCTCTCCTGATCCAAGATACCTTATCTTAGTTCATAAATATGCCTGAGAAGGGAGTCCTTGATTGAAGGACAACTAAGGAGCTAAAACTGAATCTCTGATTGGTTAGCTTTATGGGGAAATTAACTCCTTTCATGATACTTTCTACAAATGGAGGCAAATCTGCACTGGAGTTGGTATATCTGTAGTGGAGTTAAAGAGGCTAATTCCTAATATCCCAGCAAAATGCTAAGTATGTTCCCAAAAACAAAATTAAACAGAAGGTAACCACCCATTCATAACTTGTTAGTATGCTTCTGAATGTCCAAGGCACACTAGAGTCAAATTCTGAAAGGATTCTTTTTAAAGTGCTTTAAATATTCACATGACACAATAGAACAAGATGAACTCTAAACAGAGATATCATATCACTTGTTTATCACTTCACAAACTGATTTAATATACAAATATGGATGGTGCAATAAGTGAGAATTGCACATTTCCATACACATATTTCATCTTATATTGGGTAACATCTTAACCTTTGATGCAGTATCAATTTATTTCCCCCAGTAGCATGCATGAAATACATATGTCATACACATTTTTGCTGGTATGCTTGATTTTTTTTTCAGGATCCAGTTCTCTCCCAAAAGCCCATATAGTCATTGTATGGAACATTCATATTTGTGCCCCAGTTTCTGGCATGATCAGAACTCTGGCGATACTTCTTTGAAACATCCAACTCTTTCGTCATCTTTCTCCCCAATGGGTCAGGAAACCCATTAGTGATCCTGACCACCAAAGCAGGAGTTGCTGAGGTTTAGGAGATCCCAGAGACACTTCCACTAGATGGCATTACTGTTATCTCAGGATCCTCCCTGAGCAAAACATTTGGGGCAGATGCCACACTGGTGCTGCTTTGCTCCCTCCAATGCACTGTTGACTTGGCATTCCTGTGAAACATTTATGGGCCTTCAGCTCATCCTTGGTCTTGAAAGCTTCCCTGCAAACAAGGCACAGTAACACCCATTTCTCCTGCAGCAGCATCTATTTCTCCTTTTTGATGTTAGCGCAGAAAATTTGACAATGTTTGCAGACTTCCTCACTCCCCTTCCCCTTGCAAACTCGGTAGATGCCAAAGATTACCTGGTGCTTGGATATGGCTGAGAGTAATTGAGGCAGCCTAGGGTATGTTCAGTGGCATAGCTGCCCTTCTGGTGGGCCAGATAGATCTACTAGTCAAATGTCTTTTGGCAAAAAGAATGCTGGATGGCATTTGCTCATCATGGATCAGCCAGTGCTATGCCAGGTTGTAAAAGAATATGATCACATCACAAATTGGGCAGAAGTTCTGATTTATGTGTGTCATGTGGCAACAACATCAGAGGAAAAAAATCTTCACAACCAGGTGGGAACAGAGAGGAGGAATGTTGGAGAGTCTAGTGGAGAAGAAAACAAGGAAACACCAGCAGAATCTTTGAAATTGAGATCAGCTGAATCTGGTGGTTGAGGTGAATGTCCCAGGACCCAGACATTAAAAACTCACACAACTCCCCTTATTTTAGAACATGTTAGAATGCAGAGTAGCACCTTGTGAATTACATAGAATGATTACCCAGAAGGGGAAACTAAAAGGAAATTCAAAAAGGGAAAAAGGAGGGTTACTGCATTCAGGTTCAGATACTGTTTGGAAATTGCCTATTCAAAACAGTTAATTATGGCACCAGCTGTGCTGTGACTTTTCTCTGTGAAGAGCCCAAGAGCTTCTGAGAGACAAGCTTTGGAACTCCAAACCTTCCACCCTAAGGGCTCAGCTGACCACCACACTTATTAAAAGCTATCTCACCCAATCTGGTGTCCCTCTGATTTCTGTCATTCCCAACTTTGCCCTTGTATCTACTGCAGGACTTCAGATGGAGAAGACAACCTCAAACAGAATATCGGAACAATACAAGGGTGCAGATGAGTGCCTTCTAAACTTTCCAAATTCAGTGCCTGAGATTTCCAGAGACAACAGAAAAAGTTCCAACTGAGTCCTTACTGGAAACTGCCAATTACAGTCAATGTTGGATGAGATGGACAATATAAGACAAATTCTGGGGTGGTGATTTCAATGATTGGGCAGTTTAATACATTTCCAACTTTCTTCAGGTGCATACCAACAGGGGCAGCTGTAAGAAAGAAATCTGGAATCCAAGCACACGTTGGGTGAATGAAAAATCCCAGCCCACATTGCGTCCAGATTAATGGGAGAGGGGAGGTACAGCCTGGCCATTTCCGGCACCTGCTGCCTGTGTGTGTGTGTGTCTGTACACAAGAATGCAGCCAGGGTCATTCCAGTCTTCAGAACTTGGTTCCCCCTGTATAGGTAAATAGCAGATTTCTGTGTTCACACTCACACAAAGTAGAGTACTCTATGGCATTTTGATTCATTAAGGACTAAAGCTATGAATACACTCAACAAGGAAGAAAGTAGTCTTATGACCATGGAGGGCATGTGAAGAACCACTTTGGTGAAATCAAGGTAGGAGATTGTCTAAAAAATGACCTGTGCAGCTTGTCTCTCAGAATGGAAGACGAGGTGAGAATAAATACCAAGCTAGAAACTGGGAGACTGAGTTCTAGTCCCACCTTAGGCATGAAGCCAGCTGGCTGACCTTGAGCCAGTCACTCTCTCTCAGCCCTAGGAAGTAGGTAAAGGCAAACCACTTCTGAAATGTTGCCAGTAAAACTGCAGGGACTTGTCCAGGCAGTCACCAGGAGTCAACATTGACTCAAAGTCACAAGAAAAACCCAAACAAAACAAAAACAAAAAACTAGATAGAGTTGAAACCTATATTTGGGAAAGTCAAACTAACGAGTATTACAGGGTGACTTTGATTGAGCGCTGATTGGTTTTACTGAGTTGCAGTTTACTGTATAAGCCACAGGTGGTTCAGCTTCATATATACTAAGCCAATAATCATGATTTACAAACCATAGTAATTGAGTTCACACAGCATATGGTGCGAACCAAAGCGTGCAATGGCTTAGCATGATAGAAGAACCTCTTTGCATCTAGAGCACCATGATGGATAGAAGATGGGGACCAACACAGACGCTTCTTTCTTCTGCCTCTTTCAATTGCTTGGGTTTTCTAATGTGTATATTCTGAAAGCTTCTTCTCTCAGAGATTACGCTTGTAACCAAGGTGAAGTTTGGCCCAGCTATGAGATCAGGCACATAGCATTTGTGGCTGCCATAGTTACAGTTGCTATGGGGGGGGGAGGCTTCAAATCACAGCTCAGAAGGCCTTCTCCAACAGGCTGACTCCAGGAGGAGTTGGGACTGCGTTTCCCAGAATTCCCAGGCCGCTGGACATGCTGGCTGAAAATCAGGAGAGTTGTAGTCCCACACATCTGGAGAGTGCAAAATTAAAGAAGTCTGGTTTTAAAAAACAATTTCAGGGAGGTCAGCTGATGACACAAATCCTCCCCTGCACTTACACAATTCCACCAGCATTAGCTCTGCTTGACTCACCCATATTCTCCAAGCACATATTCTCTAAGTACAGCACATATATGTCCACCCAGGTATAATCCTTCCTCAGTTATCTGCTGCAGTTATTACATGCTTTTATAACTGAGCTATATGTTTATACATACAACCCCCCTGCATTATTTGCAGAGGCTGGGAAATACTTTAAAAAAAAAAGCTTGCTAGTGTATTTAGAAGGCAGGCATATCAATGCAATCTTCACAACACACTAAGCCAAGGTTTGCTTAATCATGATTTACTGAATAAACAACAACCAGCTGTGTTTTCACAACCCATTAGGCCACAAACAACCACATTTTAGCTTGGTGGGCTGTATGAAACCACTCATAGTATTTTGTTGTGTGTATGAAAAGAGCTTTATTGCCCGAAGCAGATAAAATAATGATAGAAAAATCAGTCTCATTTTCCCCTTCAAAGGCTAAAGTCTAGCCCAAGATGGAGTGCTCCATATCTACAGTCCTAACATGTAGGGTCAACTGCAGAAGGTCATAAAAGACAGGATGGCACGGAACTGCATGATCAAAGCTCTGTGTGTGTGTCATGTAAAAAAGGAACAGGGCTTTGTGCTGTCATACTCACCACCTTGACTTTTTTTTAATTGCCTCTTCAATAGCCTTTTAGTAGCTCTTGCATTCTTTCTGTACTTCTGTTCATGTTGTCAATTCCAGACAGAAAATAGAAGAAACAGAGGAGTGGAACAACATATCTGTTGGGCATAGATGGTCCCGCATTCAAATTTTGGTATTGTTGGTTGAAGTATTTCAGACCAAAGAGGTGGCAAATCCCCCCCTGCTTAAGATACCAGCGAGATTGCAACTTTCACAAATCATAGACACTGCCACAGACCTGAAAGCTGCTATTTTCCAGTGAAAGTATTCCAAAGAGACTTCTTCCCCAAAATTGTTGAACGAATGCTATGAATTAAATGCTTCAGACTTCAGACAGGTCCAGTTAGGAATGTTCAATAAGTCTTTCCCAACTTGGTGATGTGTTGGAACTACAACTCCCAACAATGCACTTTCAAGCTGGGGATTCTGATATTTATAGTCCTAACAATTTCTCCAGCTGGGAAAGCACAAGACTGGGGAAGGCTGATTAAATTAAGAAGCCAGGTGAGGGAAGGTGTTATTAATGAATAAACATTCAATTATGTTTGTCTACAGCTACACATTACACTGGTACTTAATGTGTTTTGTGGATCTTTGGCCCCTTTTTTCCCTTTTATATGCAATAGCTGTATAATAAATGAGACACAGGTATGGCTCCTCTAGACTGGGTCAACGTGCCAAGCTTTCTACTCTTTGTAGAAAGAGTAATGGGGAAAAGGTGGCTGGTGACACACACATCTATCCAAAGGGGGCTCTCGTATTACAACATCTTTCTTGTCACAACAAATCCAGTACTTTCATATTACCATGGGAGCCTTAGGATGGGAAACAGTCCAGACATTGAGTGAGTTAGTAATCTACTGCTCTGGGTTTGTTTGTTTGGTGCTTCCTGGTCAGTGCTGACTCCTGGCAACTGCCTGGACTAGTCCCTGCAGCTTTCTTAGCAAGAATTTCAGAAGTGGTTTGCCCTTAAGGGCCTGCTTCCCAGGGCTGAGCGAGGGAGACTGGCCCAAGGTCACCCAGCTGGCTTCGTGCTTAAGGTGGGACTAGAACTCACCATCTCTTGGTTTCTAGCTTGGTGCCTTTACCACTATACCAAACTGGCGCTCCTAGCTGTTTTTATTGGCGAAGTTTCCAAAATATTGTTATGTTATGGTTTTAGCTCTATTTTCTATCCTGTACTTTGGGATTGTGAGAGCCAGTCATACACACACACACACACACACACACACACACACA